ACACACACACACACACACGCACACGCACACGCACACACACACACACACTTACACACACACTTACACTTACACTTACACTTACACTTACACTTACACTTACACACACACACACACACACACCACGCGCACACACCACGCGCCCGCGCGCACGCGCACGCGCACGCGCACGCGCACGCGCACGCACCGCACAACACAGAACACACACGCGCGCACTTTTTCGCGCGGCCGCGGCCTCGCGCGCGGCGCCGAGGCGGATCAAAACGCACGCGCGCACTTGTCGGTCGTTGCGGCCGGGCTCCCTGCCGTCGACCCAGAGATCCAGCGTATGGTGAAAATCGAGACGGAAATGTTGTGCCGTTTTCGCCCCCCAGAGGTCCTCGCCGGGCCTCGGGGCCGTCAAAAAACGACCCAGGACGAAAAGCCGGTCCTGGGGAATGGGTCGAGACTTCTGGAGCCCCGTATTGAAAAAATCGCGACGTCGGATCTCTGGGGACGAGTGTGAAGGGGCCCTGGGACACACAAATTCGCTGGCCCAACGGGCCAGAGGCGTGCTAAGATCTCCAGCAACTGGTAAACAGTATTTCTGGTTTGCGCGCGCGTGGCGGCCCCTGGGGGTCCCTGGATCAAAAGTACACCGAGAGGAGCCCGGGACACGCCCGAGACACGCCCGGGACACTCCCCCAGATCCTCCAGGATCGCCCCAAGAGGGCCCCAAGAGGCCCCCAACACAATCCAAGAGAGGTCCGAGTCGCCCGAAGATCGCTCCACGGCGCCCAAGATGGCCTCCAGACGGCCCAAGACGTCTCCAAGATGACCCAACAAGCCTCCAAGATGCCCCAAGAGACCTCCAGGAGCACTCCCAAGAGGGCCCCAAGAGGCCAAAATCAATGCTTTTTCTTAGGTTTTGGACAGATTTGGGCGTTTCAACCTTTTCGGTTCCCGACGCCCCTAAACGGCTCAAGAGGCCTCCAAGATCGCCCCAAGAGGGCCCAAGAGGCCCTCAAAAGGGCCCCAAGACGGCCCAAGACGGCTCCAAGACGGCCCCAGAGGCCTCCAAGACGGCCCAAGAGGGCCCCAAGAACGCCCCCAACACGGTCCAAGAGAGGTCCGAGACGCCCGAAGATCGCTCCACGACGCCCAAGATGGCCTCCGGACGCCCAAGACGTCTCCAAGATGGCCCAAGAAGCCTCCAAGATGCCCCAAGAGGCCTCCAAGAAGACTCCCAAGAGGGCCCCGAGAGGCCAAAAACTGTGCTTTCCCTTTGGTTTTGGACAGATTTGGGCGTTTTAACCTTTTCGGTTCCCCGACGCCCCTAAACGGCTCAAGAGGCCTCCAAGATCGCCCCAAGAGGGCCCAAGAGGCCCCCAAGAGGGCCCCAAGACGGCCCAAGACGGCTCCAAGACGGCCCCAGAGGCCTCCAGGACGGCCCAAGAGGGCCCCAAGAACGCCCCCAACACGGTCCAAGAGAGGTCCGAGACGCCCGAAGATCGCTCCACGACGCCCAAGATGGCCTCCAGACGGCCCAAGACGTCTCCAAGATGACCCAAGAAGCCTCCAAGATCCCCAGGAGGTCTCCAAGTGCATTCCCAAGAGGGCCCCAAGAGGCAAACAAACAATGTTTTTCCATAAGTTTTGGACAGATTTGGGCGTTTCAACCTTTTCGGTTCCCCGACGCCCCTAAACGGCTCAAGAGGCCTCCAAGATCGCCCCAAGAGGGCCCAAGAGGCCCCCAAGAGGGCTCCAAGATGGCCGAAGACGGCTCCAAGACGGCCCAAGAGGCCTCCAAGACGGCCCAGGAGGGCCCCAAGAACGCTTCAAGAACGCCCCAAGAGGGGGTTCACGAAACAGAATTTCGAGCTCTCGGCCCCTAGAGGCCCCCGGGAGGCCCCAAGACGCCCTCAAAGGCCCCAAGAGGCCCCCAAGAGGCCCTCAAGAGGCCTCAAGAGGCCTCCAAAAGGCGCTCTGGAGGCCTCCAAAAAACCCTCAGAAGGCCCTCAGGACGCCTCCAAGACTCCAGCCAGACGCGACTTGGGAAACGCTGGTCGATAAGCTAAGATATCTCTTCCCCCGGCTCGAACGGCCCCACAGCGGGATACCACGGGTAACACGCCCCCACGATGGCACCAAAGCCGTCAAAAAACTGCAAACACCTAGAACCCCCATGGAAAAACAACAACAAATGTATCGACAACTACACAGCTCCCGACGCCGCAACTCCACACTGCAAACGACCACTCGGACAGGCGACCACGGTGCGACATTATGGGCCAGCGGAATGAGCGAAGCGATTAAATAAATATACACAAATAAAATAGCAGCAGCACCACCACCACCACTGACAACAGCAGCGGCACCACAAGCAGCAGCAGCACTAACACTGGCACCATCAGCACCAGCGCCAGCAGCGCCAGCAGCAGCAGCAGCAGAAGTAGGACCAACAGCAGCAGCGGCACCAGCACTGCACCGTACCACCAGCAGGAGCGACAACAGCAACACCAGCAGCAACACCAGCCGCAGCACCACCACCACGAACAGTAGCAAGTACGACAAACCTACTGTCGAACAGCCACGAGGCATGCCTGAGCATAGTAGGCGATAGCATACGAAGAGAGAACGCGGGACAAAAACAACAAAGCACACGACTTGTATGAATTCCTGCCTATGTTTCTCCCGTCATGGAGCCGTCTTCGCCTTGTCCGGCGAGAACTGGAATGGGCGGGCGGTGAACGCGAAGCGTCTTGAACAAATATACACAAATAAAAATATTCCCCATATTTTCCCATATTTTCTGGGTTTTTGTCTTCCCCCCCACTTCCCATATTTTCCCATATTTTCTGGGGAATCGCCGATTAATTGTGTCTGTGTGTTTCTTTCTCTCCTGAGAGTGCCACGGCGACGGGCGCCTGCTCAGCCTCAGGCGCCGCTGGACTTCGGGTGCGCGGGCGGTCGCCAGCGCGCCACTGGGCGCCCAGCTCCCGCCACTGGTGCCAGGCGAGGTGCCCACGGCTTCGCGCCGCCCAGCGCCGGGCCTTCTGGAGCTCCCATGAGAAGGACGCCCCCCTCCTCCACCTCCTTCTCCTCCTCCTCCTCCTTCTCCTCCTTCTCCTCCTCCTCCTCCTCCTCCTTCTCCTCCTCCTCCTCCTTCTCCTCCTCCTCCTCCTCCTCCTCCTCCTTCTCCTTCTCCTTCTCCTCCTCCTCCTCCCCCCCGCGCCCTGGCGGCGGCCCGATGCGGCCCGTGCCGTCCGCAGGCTCGTCCCTATGCTGTCGCACGTGTCTCGGGCGAGCGTGCGCGGCGCCGAGGCGAGGGCAGCATTTTGAAAACGGCCCGCTCCCTGAGCCGACTGTCTGGCAGCGGCTCTCCGAACGACAACGAAGCCACGATCCAAGCCCCATACCTTGAGCCCAACTGGTGGAACCACCCGGCTATGAACCAGCTGGCTAAGGCCGACAGGCTTCTGGCCTGATCATGATGCTGCTGCCTCTGCTGATGCTACTGCAGATAGTTGTGGTGGTGATTATCGTGACGATGATGGTGATGACGATGCTGCTGTTGTTGCTGCTGCTGCTGCTGCTGCTGACGACGACGACGACGACGACGACGACGACGACGACGACGACGACGACGACGACGACGACGACGACGACGACGACGACGACGACGACGACACGACGACGACCGACGACGATGATGATGATGAGGAGGATGATGCTGAATGATGAAATGATGTGATGATGATGATGATGTGAATGATGGTGATGCTGATGATGATTATGATGATGACAATGAATTATGATTGCTGATGATGATTACGATGATTCTGATATGATTATGATTATGAGTACAAGTTGATGATTGATTACGGATAACGATGGACGATGACGACGATGAAATGATGATGATGAGACGATGATGATGATGATGATGATGATGATGAGGAAATGATGAATGATGATGATGATTATGAATGATGATGATGATGATGATGATGTGATGATGATGATGATGATGATGATGATGATGTGATGGTGATGATGATGACGATGATGATGCTGATGATGATGATAATGACGATGAGGAAGAGGAGGATGAAGATGAGGAGGAGGCGGGGAGGAGGTGGAGGAGGAGGAGGGGGGAGATGGGCATGTCGCTGCAGCACAGAGGCAGAGGAAACCTGCCTGACTTGTGCCCCGCGTAGCGAGGATGCATAACTATGGGCACCAAGCGTGCGAGCAACACGTTCGCGTTGACGCCACGAAACGGGGGCGATGGCGAGCAGCAACGTTTCGCGGGCGCCCGCGCCCCCAGCGGGGAACACCTAGCACCTGCTCCTGCTCCTCCTCCTGCTCCTCCTCCTCCTCCTCTCCTCCTCCTCCTCCTCCTCCTCCTCCTCCTCCTCCCCCTCCCCCTCCACCTCCTCCTCCTCCTCCTCCTCCTCCTCCTCCTCCTCCTCCTCCTCCTCCTCCTCCTCCTCCTCCTCCTCATGCGCCTCCTCGCCGTCGCTCGGGGCGTTTCTGGACCCCTTCGGGCCTCTGGGGCTTCTCCGGGGGCCTCCCAAGGGTCCTCTGGGAACCACCACAAGACTTCTCAGGGCTAAGGTCCCCGGAGACAATTGCAGCAGGAGGAGGAGGACGACGATGGGGTTCCTGGGCGGGCCGGAGCAGATGGGGGATCGGAGGAAGGCACCGCATCACCAATGCGTCTGCGGCGTCAGGATGGAGAACATCGGGCTCCAGAGCGTGCTGCATCGCCGATGCAGCGGCGATGGGGCGCGATCCTCCGACCCCGTCTGCTCTGGCCCCATGCGGAAGTCCTGAGAAAGAGGCAGGAACCAGAGCGCCTCAGCCGCAGCACGCCTCAAAAATCGACGTCGACGGGCGTGACCGTGATCGAGCTGTCGCCCCAGATCTCCCCCACAGCGAAGCCCTGCCTGCTGGAATTGCACCCGTCGCCGCCCCCACCGCCCACGACCCACTGTGCGTTCGGCTCGATGGAGACACCAGGCTGGTCGGTGGTTTGGCGGCGGGCGCCGAAGTACGTGATGCTGCGGGCGGAGTTGTTGCGGAGGGCGTCCAGGAACCTGGGGGCGCTCCGGAAGTGGTCCGTCGGGTAGTGCGAGAAGACCACCATGGACTTCTGCCTCGAGTTCGCCACGCGCTCGTGGAACAACTTCATGCTCGCCTCCGCACGGGTCCTCATGTTGTCCAGGCACTTGAAGGCGCAGCTCGTCTTGAAGCAGTCCGAGAACATGACCTCGTCGGCCGAGCCATCGCCTTCGAATCTGTCCCCGTTCTGAAAATTGTTGAGGTCCAGCCCCACGAGCTCGATGCCCATCTCTGGGTACTCGTGGAAGTAGCTCGTGCCCGGCATCTGGAAGTGCTCGAAATCGTCCTCGTCGTAGCTTACCTGAGCACACTCCCTGTCATCCGAAGTGCACGCGCACGGGTCCGTGCGGTAGTCGCGCTCGCCATAGACGCTGTACCAAGGGATGCTTCGGAGATCTACGCTGTATACCCAGCGCCACTTCTTGTCCCACTCGGGGTCGTCTTTGTTCAGGACGCCCTCGGAATAGAAGGAGTCACCCAGACTGATCACAAACTTCACGTCCCCGAGCTCGGCCATCTTCTTGTCCATCGCCTCTGCGATCGATGTCTGGCACTCCTGGGCTATGCCGGAGGTGCCCTCGCCCCGACCCCAGTCGCCGATGACGAAGAAGGAGCCCCGCCGGATCTTGAACACCTCCGCGGTGCCCGGGCTCATCGGCCCCAACGCCTTGCAAGTCCAGTCCTCGTCCGCCCGGTCGTCGGGCTGCGGGCCTGGCACGCACTCTGGCCTGTCGGGAGCGGCAAAGAGGGGGGTGTCCAAGAGGGGGGGGTGCAAATCATGACCGGCGGCATGTGCGCGGCCCAGCGGGGGGGCCAGGGACGTAATGAAATAAGAAGAGGCGCCATGAAATCTGAGGAAAAATCATTGCCCGCGCCATGAAATTCACCCCCCCCTAGTCATCACCCCCCTCTTTTCCGCTCCCGAGCCTGCAGGCGCTCCACCCGCCGTTCTTCTCGAAGCACTGGTGGCCGGGCTCGCTGCAGCACCGCGTGCGGCTGCAGCTCTCGCCGCTGACCGCGCAGTGGTCCGCGGCCCACTCCGGCAGCGCCGCGCTCGCGGCGTCGGCCGACGCCACCCCGGGCGTGCGCGGGCCGACCTCCTCGCAGCTCCAGCTCGTCGAGTCGTTGTCCGCCAAGTCCGGGCCTGGCATGCAGGACGCCTTGCACCGGGCGACGCCGCCGCCCTTCGCGTAGCACTGCAGGCCGGCGTCGCTGCAGCACCTCGTCCTGAGGCAGTCCGCGCCCCTCGGCGAGCAGTCCGCCTCCGCCCAGTCCGGCACGCGGATGATCGTCCAGTTGATCGGCCTCGTGGGGCCGCTGGTGCGGGGCCCGAGCTCCTTGCACGTCCAGATGGCGTACTCCTCTTGGGCGCCCGAAATTATCCGGGGGAACTCGGGCCCAGGGTGTAACTCGGGCTCGGATCCCCGAAACAAGAACCCGAGTTAGCCCTGACCCGAGTTACCCCTGATGATTTGGGGCTCTGGACGCCCGAAATTATCCGGGGGAACTCGGGCCCGGGGTAACTCGGGTTCGGATTCCCGAAAAACGAACCCGAGTTAGCCCTGACCCGAGTTACCCCTGATGATTCGGGGCTCTGATCCTCGTCGGTCATCTCCGGGCCCTCCCTGCACTCCAGCTTGCAGAACGCCGCGGTCTCGTTCTTCTGGTAGCACTGCGCCCCAGCCGCCGTGCAGCACCGGGACCTCGTGCAGTCCACCCCCCCGGCGGCGCACGCGACGGTGCTGGTCTCCGTGGTGGCGGTGGCCGACGTTAGGGGAACGAACTCTGACAGAAACATGACAACTCGGAGGTCCGCGCGGATTTCCTCTCGCATCGGCACTTCACCCCCCTCCCTGGCGCGCGGAGCGCGCCAGGGGCGGCGCGCCGGAGGCGCCGCCAGGGGGTCCAGCGCGGATCCGAGGAATCCGCGCGGGCTCCTCCTCCTCCTCCTCTTCATCCCCTTGCCTCCTCCTCTTCCTCCTGTCTCTCCTCCTTCTCCTCCTTTATAGCCTCCTCCTCCTCCTCCTCCTCCTCCTCCTCTCCGAGTTTTTGTGTTTATGTCAGGCTTCGTTCCCCTAGACGTGGCGGTGGTCGAGGTCGTGCCAGTGGTCGTGTCGGTGGGGTCGGCCGTGGTCGTGCCAGTGGCGGCGACCGCGAGGCCAGCGCTGGCGGCCTCTCTGGAGGAGGAGGAGGAGGGGGTGGAGGAGGAGGAGGAGGAGGAGGAGGAGGAGGAGGAGGAGGAGGAGGAGGAGGGAGGAGAAGGGAGGAGGAGGGAGGGAGGGAGGGAAAGAGGAGGAGGAGGAGGAGGAGGAGGAGGAGGAGGAGGAGGAGGAGGGCGGCCTCGCCAGCGCCGTGCGCCAGCGGGGCCTCGCCGCCCCGCGCGGCGGAGGCGGCCTCCTCGCGAAGAGCGTGGCCGTCCGCTGCCCACGGGGTGGTGTCCTGACAACCACCTGACCACCCGACCCAACAGGAAGACCCGCATCTCGGGTTGGGGGGGTACGGGTTCCCTGTTTTTTCGATGTTCCCCGACGCCCCACCACCACCACTGGAAATGGAGGGCAAATTGAGGCCTTCGGGTTCGGTTGGGGTGGTTCCCAAAGATCCGATGTCGTGATTTTTGTTCAATGCGGGGTCCCCAGAAGCCTCGACCCATTCCCCAGGACCGGCATTTCGTCCTGAGCCGTTTCTTCCTGGCCCCGAGGCCCAGCGAGGGCCTTTCAGAGGCCGAAAGCGGCGACAAACCTCTCCGCCTTGATTTTTTCCATGCGCTGGATCTCTGGGTTTGGTGGGTGGTGGCGTCCTCGCTCGCCACGGGCGCCTCCGCCACCGGCGACTCCAGGTTCCGCTGCTGGCCGCCCCGCGGCAGCGGCCGCCCCGCGAGGAGCTGCCGCTCCACCCGCGCGTAGGCCACGAGGCCAACGGCGGCCAGGAAGCACCCGAAGGCCGTCAGCAGCACGGGCGAGGGGCACCTGGGCAGCCTCCTCCTCCTCCTCCTTCTCCTCCTCCTCCTCCTCCTCCCTCCATCCTCCTCCATCCTCCTCCTCCTCCTCCTCCTCTCCCCTCCTCCCCACTCCTCCTCCTCCTCCTCCTCCTCCTCCTCCTCCTCCTCCTCCTCCTCCTCCTCCGATCCTCCTCCCCTCCTCCTCCTCCTCCTCCTCCTCCTCCTCCTCCTCCTCCTCCTCCTCCTCCTCCTCCTCCGCCTCCTCCTGCTCCTGCTCCTCCTGCTCCTCCTCCTCCTCCTCCTCCTCCTCCTCCTCCTCCTCCTCCTCCTCCTCCCTCTCTCCCTCCGCCCTCCTTCCTCCTCCTCCTCCTCCTCCTCCTCCTCCTCCTCCTCCTCCTCCTCCTCCTCATGCTCCTCCCAGGGGCCCCACTGGCCGACTCGGCCCACCAGGTGGGGATCTGAGGTGCTGCTCCTCGTCGGGTCTCGCGGGCCCCCTCCCCCCATTCTGGGGGGGGTGCAAACTGGCGGGGCCGAGGTGCCACGGCCCGCGGGGATGGGGACTCGGCTCCACGACTCTCTGACGTTGAGAGAACGTGCAGCATCGCAGCATCGCGAGAAGTCACAGCCCAAGCTCTCTCTGCATCTCTCTGCAGTGCCCCTGTGCCGGATCGACGTGTCATGGCCCTGGGGGCCCGCAGCCGTGCAAGAACGCCCAGGGCGAAAAAATTGCAAAGCCCAGATCTCCGGGGATACCCAGCGGTCCCAGCCACGATCTGCGAAGCCGCCTCTTGCACCATCATCATCACCACCACCAGCACCATCATCATCACCACCACCACAGACAGCAAGCATCACCATCATCATCACCATCATCATCCCAACCATCGCCATCATCATCAACACCACCATCATGATCACGACCACCATCATCACCATCATCATCACATTCATCATCGTCACCATCGCCATCATCAACACAATCATCATCATCATCATCATCATCATCATCATCATCAACGCCATCATCATCATCATCAACACCACCATCATCACCACCATCATCAATCATCATCATCATCATCATCATCATCATCATCATCATCATCATCATCATCATCATCATCATCTTCATGATCATCCTCATCTCTATTACCTTATCATCATCATCACCACCTCCATCGTCATCATCATTATCATCATCATCATAATCATCATCATCATCACCATCACCATCATCATCACCATCATCATCACCATGATCATAACCACCATCATCATCACCATCACCACCACCATCATCACCATCACCATCATCACCATCACCATCGTCAGCACAATCAGCATCATCATCATCATCAGCAACACCATCATCATCAACACCATCAGCCTCATCATCACAATTATCATCAACACCACCATCATCATCACCATCATAATCATCATCATCACCGTCACAATCACCATCACCATCATCATCATCGTCACCATCATCATCGTCAACACCACCATCATCAACGACACCATCATCATCATCATCATCATCACCCCCATCATCATCAACACCAATATCATCATCACCATCATCATCATCACCATCATGATCACCATCACCATCACCATCACCATCATCCTCATCACCATCATTGCCATCATCACCACCACAATGATCACGACCATCATCATCAGCAACATCATCATCGTCACCGTAACAATCAACACCACTATCATCAGCATCACCATCATCAGCAACATCATAATCATCAACACCACCATCATGATCACCATCACCCTCAACACCATCATCAGCATTGTCATCATCATCATCACTGTCATGACCATCATGGTAATCATCATGATAACCATCATCACCATCATCATCATCAGCATCATCACTGTCATCACCATCCTGATAATCAGCGTGATAACCATCATCACCATCATCATCATCAGCATCAT